TATATATATATATATATATATATCCATATCAGTGTAAACTACCTGTACCTGATGATGACAAAATCTTGTCGAAACGTTGTACTTATATAAAGTTTTTTTTTATTGCCCATTCAAGCCATCTCCAAGCATTATTAGTCTCAAAGTGGGTTCCTCGTCATCGAATGTGACTCATATGTTATTAGAGATTCTGTAATGAACAGTGTTTTGAATTCATTAGCAAGTTCTGTAATTAGTCAGCCTTGTTTATTTTGAAAAGATGAGTCACATTGTAATTTCAATAACATTCTATGTGGAAAATTACAATAATATTAAAATCCTGTAGTGATAAAACCACTTGTTCTTATATGCTTCTGTTATAATCTCCTTTATACTTGTGATTTTTCATTCTCAAAATCTTTATATCTAGTTTTAAATGGGAAAATAAAACTTTCCAGTGCACTGCAACTGTGTAAATATAAAACATTTCTTGCTCGACATGACCCATCTCTGCTTCCTTTCTATACAACATTGTGCAGACTATGTAATAAACAGTTTTGTGCCTTACAAACTAATGTGAACATATGATGAACAACTACAGATGCTACATTAATGCACCTAAAATGCTCAACTTATCAGAAGTAACATAAATTTCAATGTATTTTCCCTACTTCAGCCAAAATAATTTTGTAAGTTACTGCACCATTTAAATAAATATCAATTTTTGTACATTTAAAAATCAGTTGTAAAATTCTCATTCCCACAATAATCCCTGTAAAAATTTGATACTTCAATTTGATATGCTATTTTGCACATACCTTAACTTTAATAATACATATTTCCAAAACAAATGAATTCATCAAAATGTTTCAAATGATATTTTTGGGCAGAGATTTAAAGATCAAAAATCTGATATCTATATTTTAGCATCTTTAAATTCTTAAAAATTTGTTCACCAAATGCTAATTTTTATTCCAAACTAAACCTAATATGATTAGCTCCCAGAGAATTCAAATATATTACACATGTACAACATACTGGAACTCACCTCTTTAAATGGCAATTTTCCCATTAGCTTTGTGCCTAACATTACCATTCTTGCTACCCAGAAGAACAAGATGTCATAACCAGTCTCTAGCAATGTGCCAGGATAAAATGTCTGAAGATCTAACGTCTGAAAACATATATATAAAAGGTTCAGCTGAAAACATGAACAAGTTTTTTGAATTACTACTACAGCATTGTAAAAATAGAATAAAATGCTCCACCATTTATACAAATATTAACAAAATATAACCTTAACTCTTATTAAAGACTCAAAAAATTAATTTTTCTGAACTAGTGACATAGGAAATTTGTTCGGAAGGAACTACCCAAGATGTTTAGGTGTTTGAAGATCCAATTTAAAACAAGATTATTAAAAACTGTTAATTGAAAGAGGAGAAATAGGTTACTTTAAAATACTGAAATAAGAAAGGTAGCTTAAAGTGAAAATACAATCATAAAAAAAGTAAACAAACAAGCTTAGGATTTGAGATATGGTGTTGACATTTCCTGAAGCTACAAATCCATATTTTGACTCTTCTAAATATTACAGCTTTTAGACATGGAGTCGAAATAGGGATTTGTAGCTCGAGGAAATAACATTAAAACTATGTCTCAAACATTAAGCTTCTTTGCTTACTTTTTTTTATGATTGCATTTTCACTTTAAGCTACCTCTCTTGTTTCTGTAATTTTTTGAAGATCCCTATTCCCCTGTTTAATTTAACAATTTTTAATAATATTGTTTGTTTAGTTTTTTTTATGTCCATCATGACAGCAATACTGTCCTATTTGAAACAGTTTAGTTTAATGAAATTGTAGTTGGTGTATGATGCTCATTCAGGAAACAATGAGAACCTTTGAAATGGCTTCATGCAGATTGGATGGCTATTGCTCCTGATATCATTGCCATAATGTTAATCATTGATAGTAGTACTACATGTATGATCACTATGATGCATGGTGATCAACACATCACATGTTTCTGTATATGCTTGTAAAATATGTATAGTTACTATATTTATACGCTATAGCAGACTACTGAACTATACTGGAATGCCGCATGGACTAAATTTTCTAACCGCATGAGTTTTATACGTGTTCACTCGTATTTAGATATAGCCATATGAACTTTTCAAGTTCTATAAGATGCATGGATGCATATTCAATGCAAATATAAGACAATGTGTCATAATATAATAGCATATGTACAGAAGTAAGCATTTTTTATATTCTTATAGTTATTATATTTTCCTCTTCCTCCTCTCTAATGCCCATAATAAAGTTGGTCATGGTTTTACTGCAGCTGGCCAACTTTCCTCTTAGAGTGACATTCTGAACACACTGAAGGGTCAAAAACATGTTAATTAACAACTATGAATTGATGATATTAATATACCCCCCTCAATTTCTGATGGAGTTGGAGTCGTGACACTTCTACAACCCTCTTCCACTGTGACGAACCTAAATTCTGGTGGGGTGTCTCTGCTGCATACTTTATCTTAAATTAAATATTTTCTCAATGAAATATATAGCTATAAAAATTCTGCCTCACTTTTGCCTAGAATTACCATCACTTTTGCCAATATCCTGTTTGCACGATTCTTGCCACTCCTTATAGTCAGCTTCAAGGATGGCTATTCTATCTGCAGTATCTATAAAATTCACAATCACGAAGTTTTGGCTAAAATTTGACACTTACCATCAGCCATCACCGAGACTGCCAATCCTATGCTCGAAACTGAGCTTGGTGCTATAAATTAAACTACAGCTTAAAGATTTCTGTTGTGGGAGACAGCCTCAACATTTGTATAATGTTTTCGACATTTGTGTAACATGACTGAAATTGATCATGCAGTGGTAAAAGAAGAAAAAAAAAACTGATATTGCCAGCACGTCGTGTCCTAAAGGGCAGGAACCATATACATAAACAAATTATATATGACATCAATACAGCTGGAACAATAAGTTAATAACTGCTATGGGGCATGTGTCATGACTGCCATATAAACATTAAATTACATCCATGGCCTACACACAGCTATATACGTGTGGATATAGTAGATTATGAGCATCCATATTAACCACAGACTACATTAAAACAATTGGATGTCAATGGCTGTATAGCCATTGTTATTTGCTAAGTAGTCAAACTTAAAACTACCCTACACAATAGCAATGTTATGTTTAGTAATACTGCCCAGATTTTATTCCAATACTCACAGCCATTTTTGATGTAGACTGGTGGAACAATATTAATTAATAATAAAGAAGATCAAATGGGCAATCCTTATTACGAACCACTACCATGGTTCATGATAATTATTTAGACTTATCTGTATAAATAAAGTACTGTAAGATTCAATTTAAAAGGTTTCAAAACACACAATGTAAGTACAGCACATGCTGCCAAAATTTACACTTTCCATTTCTCCTATGTTTTTTAATATCCTCTTACAGTATTCTTAATTACAATCATTCTATTATACATATATACAACAGAAATAAGCTACTATGTAAAAACAACAACTATCAGACTTCAGAAAACTATAAATAAAGGTGTAGTAGAAAATATTTTTATGTGGCACAATATCTTGTGAAGTTTGACTTTCCTGGGGATTTAAAAACTAACTGAACCTAACTCATAAGTTTTAATTTAACCATTTTCAGCTTTATATTGTTCAGAAAAAATTCTTAAATTTCATAATTGTTAGTTTCTTTGGGTCTAGTTTGAATTCAGGTTACTGATAACAAGTGATATTTTCTAAAATGAAACTAGCCAAGAGATATTTGCCATAACAAAATAAATAAAAGTTTCAAAAACTTTCACCATGTATTGTTGTAGATATATTATAGAATTGAAATTCATTAGATGTTTAATAATGTTTATGTTGATTTTATATTTATATGTGTGTGTGTTTTTCTTATAGGAAAGCCACATCAGGCTATCTGCTGTGTCCACCGAGGGGAATTGAACCCGAGTTTATCGTTGTAAATCCGAAGACTTACCGCTGTCCCAATGGGGGTCTATTTATATGTGATAGTTAAATTAATTTACATTTGTTTATCATTTTAATATAAACTAAATACATATTACCATATTTTAACTACAAATCTCATGCCATTATTTTAGCTCATTCCAACTTTGTATAAAATTCTAATTGCAGAATAGTAACTTAAAAAAAATAAAAAAACACACTTTCAAACATTGCCTTTAATTTGGAGGTGGATAGCATTAAAATTTAAGATTCTTTATCAAATAAATAAGGAATAAAAATAAGCTATAAATACCTTATAGCTTAAAACAGAAACAATTTCTACTATTAATCATTGACTTCAACTTAAGAATAAGATATTACATTATTAGAAATTGTAAATAATAAAATAAGTACTTGATAATTTCTTATTAACATTAAACACTGCACTATCAGTGCTACTTACATTCTCGGGCCACCCAAAAATTGCAAAAGGAAACAATCCAGAAGAAAACCAAGTATCAAGTACATCTTCATCTAATGTATTTAAGATAAAAAAATAAATAAAAAATACATTGTATAATAGATCATTTGTGAAAATACAATACATTTTCAGAAATTTTCTCTATATTTTTATAAAAAGTAGTGAGGAGTTGGTCAGCAAATGACTTAATGATTTATTATACAGAAACAAAAGCTATAAAATATTCTTCTCTGAATTTTTCTTGGGGGTGGGAGGGGAATGGTGTTAAAGGTAATTAGACAGACAGCAGTTACGGTGAAAAACAAAAAAATTAAAAACCTGAAAACGTTTTTAAATACATTATAACTGAGTTGCTTACAGAAAAGTATAACAATCTGTTTACATTTTTGGAGATTATAAAGCTGCAGTTAGCAAAATTAAGTTTTTATACTAAAAATGACATGAATATAAGTATGAATGAATTGTAAAACATGTGTATAATGCAAAACATAAATTCTGAAAACTTCATTTTATTTTAACCATACCTTGTTTCAGTGATATTTTCTGTGCATCAACA